TATTTAAAAAACGAGCAGGAGTGTTTTAATTTGTTAGGTCTAAAGCCACGAGCGCGCAGCGCGAGTGGCTTTAGACTTAATAAAACACGACCTGCGAGTTTTTTAAATGGCTTCAAAAACGTTTGCATAATAAGTCAAATCTTTATATAAAAATCTTTATATAAAAATCTTTATATAAAAATCTTTATATAGTTTGCATAACAATGGTCTTTTGTTAAAGTGTTCTTTAGCTGATATAAAGACGTATGCACATGACTAATTTCGTACTCAAGATTGGATAATTGCTTCATGAATTATTAATGAGTTTTTGAAATATATATATATATATATATATATATATATATATATATATATATATATATATATATATATATATATATATATATATATATATATATATATATATATATATATATGCGCAAAATTCAGTGGCGAAGCCAGCCCGACAATTTAGTCATGCTATGCAAATTTTAAATCATCATTAATTTCTTTAGAAATTGATTGTTTTCACGGTGTATGAACACGGAAATATTTGCATAGCATGACCAAATTGTCGGGCTGGCTTCGCCAATGGCGCAAATGAATGAGCAATGGCAATCAACTATGGTTGCAAAATACTATATACCTAAGATAACAGCAGTCTTAACTGTTAAAACGTTTTATATTTACAATTGTTTTCGTTTTGTGCACAACAGCAGGTATCTTATTAAAGAGCTTTCGATGTGTGAGGCTATGTATATTGTCTCAAACAGTGGCGAAGCTAGCCATGGCAATTGCTGTTATGCAATATATGCTAATTTGCCAGCATCTAAATAGGTTAAAGACAATACATTTGGAAGTACCAAATGGAAGTACCAATACTTACATTTGGAAGTACCAATACATACCTGTTGGAAGTTTATGTGCCTAGGCGAAATTTAAGATCATCATCAGATAGGAAATTAGTAGTTCCAAATTATAACTTGGAAACCTATGGTAGACGTTCCTTTAGGGTATCTGCACCAATATTGTGGAATAATCTGCCTCAGAATGTAAGACTATGTGAATCTATAGGATCTTTTAAATCAGAATTGAAAACACATTTGTTCCGAATTGTATATAAGGATTTTATTTAGAGTAATTTTAACTATTTTTAGAACGATTTTTATAGTCTATTTTACAAAACTTTAAATTAAGCAATTGTTGTATAAATATTGTAAGTTGTAAATTGTAAAGCGCATCTGGACATTTATGGAAGATGCGCTATATAAAAAACTAATTATTATTATTATTATTATTATTATTATTATTACATTTCTGAAGGTTTGAATAATGCAAATCATTAAAACTTTGTGTCGGAAGCTTTGGAATAATAAATAACAATGCTGTTTCCACAAAACATAATTAATAGAAAGATAAACCTGGTTAGGAAGGCCGGAAAACTTCAAAGGACTCTTGCTGTGATGTTGAAATGTACTTTTCGTTTGTCACGTGACAAACGAAGGTGCACGGCTTGCTAAAATTATAGGAGTGATTAGGATTGATACTTCCAAGCGATTACAAGAAGGGTTGATTATTCTCGACGTTTTTCGAGAAATATGAATGAAATTGAAAATACCTCGGAAAGTGAATCTACCATTAACCTTGATGACGAGAAAGTGTATTCTGAACGTGAAGAGATACTTGACCCGTTTATGGAGTCGCTTGAAGCGCTGGAAGAAAGCGGCGAGGAATTTGATATTCAGCTTGGGAGCTGAGGTAATTTCAAGCTGTTTACGATAGTATAAGTAAAAAATGTACGTACATCTAACATTTTTTATTGTTTTCCAATAGGTTGAAGACACAAAAGGTTACCCATGTGATATGTGGGAAAAAATTTGCAATTCCTTTAGAATTGCAAATTTTTTCACACATATTACATGGGTAACCTTTTGTGAGTTTAACGAGACATCGCCGAAGTAAACACGATGAACAGCCTGAAACGGCGCCAGTTACCTCAAAGAAAAAGAAATCAAAGAACAAAATGTCAACAATTGAAATGCCTGTTATACAAAAATTGTGTAGGGAAATTGGGGAGAAAATGTGGGAAGAAAAACTTTGACCTGACAAAATAATAGGCAATTGTATCAAGCTTGAAACCTAGTGAGGAATTTGTGAATTTCATTAATGATGCGTTCTCCATTTTTATCGAAAGGGAAACCAGGGTACGTCCTTAGCCAGTTTCTGTGCAGAGATCTTGAAGAATTGGAGAAAATTATTTCCAGCCTGTGACAATCAACCTGCTGTCAATGTGTTGTTGATCAATTTCCCTCAGAAACTAATTGGTCACTATACAGTAAACAGTCAAGTGATGTCACTAGTGATTTCTTTCTATCTGCATTTTGCCTGAAATTGCCTGAAGTTCAAGTTTTTAGATTTTTTGTCATTTAACATCTTTGTATATAAAATTATCATAAAATATATGTGTTCCATATCCTGTTATACAAGTTATTTAGTATACGAAGTATATCCTGATATCAATATTACTTTACTCTGTCAGACTACAGATAATACTGGTCAGATGGGAAAGAACTATACATTGTTAACGCCCATGCTACAAACAACCCTCAAAAAAATGCTAGCTCAAATATACTTCTAGTATATGCACGGTATGATGTTCTCTTATTTTGCATGAATACTTCTAGCATGCCCTGCGAGTGTCGTACCAGAAAACAATAGCAAGTATTGCTAGGAGCCATGCACCATGAGGAAACAGACTATTTGCATTGGATTGGTGTTAATACTTGCTTTGATATAAGTATGTTCTTGCTGTAATATAAGTGGTAAAGGTAAATCCAGAAGAGCTGGATCCGCGTTTATATGTTGCTGGGTATGTTCTCCAGTCAACGTACATAGAATGTAAGAATTCACCACACTTGTGTGGTCTTGTACCATGCTTCAAGATAAACATGAAAGGCTTTCTGTTACCAGTCAAATCTACTATCATTAATTAGGGTTGGTGTATGGAGCCAAAAACTTATTTCGTCATCTTGTGTGCTCATATGTGGATCGAACATTGAGACAGTCAAAGAAGCTGTTACCATATCACAGAACGTTGTTGTCTTTTCCGCTTCTCCACGAAGAAAATGTCACCGGAGTGCCTGAGCCACAATGTTGCTCATCACCTGTGCTGCGAGATTAACTTTTATCTTTGAGAAAAATGTAAAGTTGATGTGGTCAGGGAGTAATTTGGGAAGCTGATGTAAACCCTGTAAGTTCTGAATGGTAGAGCTCAGCTAGGGATACACCATCGCTTCCAACAGCACAAACCCATAAATTGTAGGTCAACTCAAAAATTGAAAGTGCTTTCCAGAAGATAGGTATTAATTGATAGGATGGCACATTTACAGTTCCGAAATATCCTAGTATACATATTTCAAGTGACTAGCAATGTCTCTCGCCATGAATGCCAAGACATGATTTGCAATCGCAGTTTGTGTGTCAAATACAGCAATATTCAGATCATCATCACCGGGATCAACAAATCCAATTGGTTCATTGGTGTGTTTCCATTTCGTCAAATGGCACAACCACATATCTCCGAATGTCAGATAAACTGTTTGTTAGTTCATTTAATCGAGAGGTATTTTCTTGAGGTAAAAACCAGGTCTGGGTTTAAAATAATTTCGGTAGTCCTTTAACACTCGTTCACTTGGCAACACCAGCACGGCAGATTATGCTAGTTCTCGATAAACAGATGGACACTGATTAGATGAGGGTGCATGGTATTGCCTGCCGAAGTTTGGTGAGGCAAGAAGCTTCTGTTGTTCCTGCCAAAACAAGTTCATGTGCTGTAAACTTGCCAAATTAGCTCTCTTCAAAATATCTTTCAACTTTCTTCATTGCATTTAGTCTACCTTCAAGTTCTTTGAAGCCAATATGCTGCTTCTTAACTGTCATGATCAATCTCTTTACTACAGGCGGAAAGAGGAGCTCTATCCTTTATAGCCCGCGTGCAGGCCCAAGGGAGCAGGCTCAAGGGAACTTGATAGTGGGCCTGCAAGCAAGGCCCGGTATTTTGTAAAACGCCCCTTTTCATAACACGCCACATTCGCGAGTCAATTGTCAAAAAAGAACCAATGACAGCACCCAAATATTAACAAACAAACTCGCATTAAAATGTTGCGGGGTTTTCTCTGCATATTCAGAACATAAACAATGTGTAAATGGCTGCGTTTTAACTCCAAAAAAGCAAGCAACGCAGTCAGTAATTGCCAAATTTGCAAGTGCTCATTTTCAACTAAAATCGGAACAGGCAAATTAGGACGAATTTCAACAGAAAACCAGTCTCAAACTTCAAATCGTGAGGAAAGTCGTGCGACCACATTAGCATTTATAATGTGTGTTTCGCTGTCGCCGTTGGCATTGTTATAAATAAAATGTCTCACTTATCAGATCGTGTGTGCAATTCTTGTTGGCGGCGGAAAGTACGAAATTTATTTCAGTTATTTCATTTGGTAAAGAACTCTACAAAAGAAGAGAGCGTTCAGAGTCCAGATCGTTTCGTCTCACACGGCAATTTAAATATACCGTCTTCTGTTTCGTTCTCTCAGCGAAGCCTTGTAAATCGCAAAGTGTTTCTAATATGCTTACATGCAACTGCATCTCAACATCAACCAAAAGATAATTTTCTTGAGGAACGTATAACGTATCAAGTCTGTTTGAAATTAATGAAACTCAAGTAAAGGTTACTATAGTTTACCCCAGTCGTAATGTTGCTATTCCAACAACTCACGACAAGCAATCCCCATTGGCATAACGGCAAAAACATCTCTTCCTTCTAGTAAACAATAAACAGTCTGTTCTTGTTCCATTTATAATCGAAAAAAGTGATCAATTTTCGAATTTTGAGCTTATCGAGAGCCTTTGTGATGAATCACTGACCTAATTATAGAATCCAACAGCAAACAGCCAATCAGAATGCCGCGTTCGTGGGCGAACGCGGAAAGTACAAAATACCGGGCCTTGCTTGCAGGCCCACTATCAAGTTCCCTTGAGCCTACTCCCTTGGGCCTGCACGCGGGCTATATCCTTTACAGCTGATACTGGTTTACAGGAATTTTCAGATCTAGTAAACGCATCGACCTGGAATGGTGGCCCATCTTCATCGTATGCATCAGTGAGCAGGTGTATTGTTTGCTTGGGGTACATTCACACAGTCACTTGCAGGTGACTCTTGGGGCAAACCCGGCCAAATACCAAACGATTTAACGGTTTTACAAAGCAAGGTTACTGAAATTCTAAATAGAGATCGTTTGTGTTCAAGATATACTTGATGATGATCAGGAAAAAAACAGCCAAACACTGCTACAGAAAATTCAAGGCCTTAATCTTCTGTCACAGAATAAACAGGCAATACATATTTATTGTCAAAATACTCCAATGCAAAATCCTGCTCGCGTTCTTTTCTTGACCAGCCAGATAATTTGATGTTTGTAATTTTACGCTTGAAGTGGACCGCGAGCAGTCCCTCGGAAGAAAGGAGGGACCGCCGACAACACATCAAGAAACGAAATGCGCCCACTTTTCGCTCTTGTCCAGTAATCCTAAGCATGTTTATCTTTCTATTAACCATGCACAAGCCAAGACAAACTATATTTATCGGTATCCACAACATACAAACAACTTATTATATTTTGATGCATGAGGATATTGGAATACGAATTGAGAAATGTATTGGCAGAAGATAAAAGTAAACATTAGCATAAACTGTTCCAGATGCAAGTGGAGAGAGTTTATATAGAACTTATGATTACTGATTGCTCAACACCAACAGCCAACGGTAAAATCAGCTACAATGATACAATATGGAAAGGCAAACAAGAACAGCAGCAACAACAACAGCAATAACAACAACAACAACAACAACAACAACAACAACAACAACAACAGCAACAATGTCAACAACAACAGAAAAAAAATGGCGTTGCCTTCGGCAGATTGTACTTTGACAGGTTCATTTACATTGTTTCATATGCTTTCAATTTCAAATTGAATTATATATATATATATATTCGATCACGCCATCATTGATGAGTGAAATATAACAATATTTCACTCATCATATGAAGTTTTCGAACATTAATCAAAGCAATGGTCTTATTTAATATATATAATTCAATTTGAAATTGAGAGCATATTAAACAATGTAAATGAACCTATCAAAGTTCAATACGCCAAAGGAGAATTTAGGGGCTAAAATAGGGCGCTTAGGGCATGCTCATTTAAGATATGTTATGTCATTTTGTATTAAGTATTAGATTTACTTTTCTTGCTAGTATTCTGACAGTGAGTACGTGAGCGCTGTTCTAAATGGTCTGGTTAATACTATTACAGCAACTGTACCCATAGTGATAACAGACAGGTAAGCATGGAGAACTTCAGTGGAGTAAAGTAGAGTCATTCTTTATGGATGAATTAAGCTTACATGGGTGATAGGCATTGGTGCCAAAAAATGAAATTTTCAGTAGCTATTTAGACGACTTAAAATTAAGTAAATTATCTGATATGGCCATTGAACTCAAAATGCGTTTTAAACTTTTAATGCTGCTAAAAAAGTCACTGGAAAATGTATCTTTGCGAAAACGTTTTGTTTATTCCACATTATAAGTACCCAAACAATCTATAAATTTATCAAACATTTCATGAAATGAACGGATTTGTGAACTTGATAGCCGTTTCAAAATTGTCTTGTAGTTTCAACGCAGCTATTTCGGTCAATATTGCCGAATGAGAATGCACATGGCATACATGAAAATTTAAGTTAGACATTACTGAATTCAATGCACCTTGTTTAAATGTAATTATAACTATTTTAGTTTTTAAATTATACTGAATCAAACAGGAGATTCCAGCCAGTTCATAGTTACATGGCTTTGGGTAATTTACATTTTGTAGTAGTTATAATGGGGGATTTTTCGTAGTTTTGACTGTTCGTCAAAATGTACGAGACGTTCGAAGCTAGCGAATTATCCCGCGCAACCCTCATACCTTGATATACTTAGCCTCAATTTTTGAATTGCAGAATAATTAGTTGTACTATCTAGTGTATATAAGATATCTATGGCTGTGACAGACACTTTTTATATCCATGCATGTGCTTTTTTCTGTTCTGTGTAAGTTGAATGCATATATAGAAATATATCAAATTATAAAATCATGCATAAATACAGAGTGTTTTACATGTAAATTATTATCTTTCTTTTAGTGAAGGTAAACAGATTTTAAAGCTTTCAGAAGAATGCAAGGTATTTGTGTTTTTAACAAAAAGTTGAAATTCATAAAATCAATTTATGAATTGGAAAGACAATAATGTCTCGATGCTTCTGATCTGTAAGCCCTGATGGCTATCAATACACTTGAAACACTGACATTTTTCATTTTCCATTTCCTGACCATTTTCCAACTAATTGCCAATTCCATAGTATAGACCAATTCTGAGTGTCAACTGCACATTCAAATGGTGCGTTCTGCGCTTATAGCTGAGACCGGAAGTATTGGAATAAGCATGTATCAAAGTATTCAACAGTTCAATCATCATTTGAATACAAAAAGGAAGAAAACTTTAGGAAAAAAATAAAATTATTTTGCAGCATGTCTTGTATTATAATTATGAACACGATTATGATTTATTTAAATCTTGTGCAGTTATAGCTGTCATCATTACATTCAAAACACAGACAAACAGAAACAAGAAAATACCTGAAACTTGAGATGGAACTAAAACTTCGTCGTTGTGAGCGGAAGCTCTTCTTCAGGAAGTTCCAATCACTTGCTGACAAAGGACCTTCGGTCGAAACGTCGACGTTTTACTTGAATGTATTTTCCAGGTTGCTGAATCCCTATCGATCTCAATTTTCTAGTATTTTTGGTAATGCCTACGCTGGTATACAGATCGTTTGAGACACGAAAATAACATATATTAAACAGCAAATAAGTTGGAAAGAAACGAACGTACCGGAACTGCGCCCGCGCCATCTCGAAATCTCGCAACATGCTCGTATTTAATATATAATTCATCTTCGTTTCTTATAATAAAGTTTGTAAGCGTAGCCTTATAACCATTGGGGTAATATTTTCCAGTGCTTCCATTTTCACTTTGTTACAGGTTATTCTGGCAGAAATTACAAAATATTTAAACCTGGAGAAACTTCTTCCCTCATATAAATATGTTGTAACAAGAAGGTATGTAGTTTTAATGTATAAAATGGTTTGGTCTGAATGGATGGACGGATCAACTTTATTTAAAACACACTATAATCTTTTCAACTAATGCTAGTTTCCAAAAGAGGTGTCAGGTGTGTACCACTCAGGGTTGGCATTTGTTCTTTTACTATTTGTTCTTTTATGCTCTTTTATGATAAAAGAACTTTTTTTTCGCCAAATTTGTTCTTTTATTTTCTTTTATTATTTTTAATTTTTTATGTTCTATTAGTTAAATTGTCACTAACAATTTTATATGTCTATATTCTAGTACTTCGTCGAGATCATCAACTCCACAAAGTACTGGAATATAGACATATACCGAAAAACAATGTGTAATCCTTCTGCGTCATCGTATCTTCTTTGACATGATCGTATTTTTTATTATGACGTCATCATATTTTTATCATGACGTCATCGTATTTTTCTTAAAGCCGAAAATGTTCTTTTATTATTTAAAATGTTCTTTTATTAATAAAAGAATAAAGAACATTTTTTTCTGAAAAAATGTTCTTTTATCCAACCCTGGTACCACTATAATTTGCAAAAATAGAATAAAACCCCCCCCCCCCCCCTCCCCACACACACACAAATTACCTATGATGTATGTTCATTACTGATTTCATAAATTATATAAATATTTTAACAAAATACAAAACAAGTGTAACTCCAAAGATCGATAACATTTTTATATTTATCTAAAAATATAAAAATGTTATCGATCTTTGGAGTTACACTTGTTTCGTATTTTGTTAAAATACTCAGTGGTTCTAAAAATATAAATATTATGAATTTGTTAACTAATAATACTAGAAATTAGTAAGAAATCAAAGAATATTATAAAATAATATGTATATAACGCGTGCTCTGATTGGTTGAAACCTGTGTTTAGATTAGGCCATCCAAACACGGAAATTTAAAGTGAAAGTTTTTTAAAATGAAATTTTAACACGGAAAGTTGTTATTTTATAAAACAATTACTTTATCGCTTCCGCGGTAGCAAGCAATGCATAAAACCTAAACTTTAGCGGCAACTTATCAGCCTGATGAGCTCTGTTTTCTGTGCGAAGGACTGCATGCAAAGATCAATGACAGTACACCGTTCTGGATAAAATAATGGCAATGTGCAGGAGCACAATGCCGATTTAATGATTAAAACAAAAATAACAAATTGCAGATAAATGTTACAAATTTAGTATTCATGCATAGCACAGAAAAGGTGGGGTGTTAAAAAACGCCTCATATACAAAAACCGCCGGTAACATGTATCGTAGGACGCAAAATGAGGCAAGGGGAGGGCGGAATGGAAAGGAAAACTTGTGAGGACTTGAAAACTTGCCTTGCGAAGCCAAAGGTGAATGATCTTGAGCTGTTAACGCTCAACGTTTTTATATAGTAGGCCCAAGATGCACGTGAAGCGTGACATGGAAATTCACTGATGTGTTGCAAAATTCCACAGGAAATAAAACTGGTTGAACGGGTTTCCCTGCGAGGTTCCCTCCATAACCCCATTTTGCGTGCTACCCCGAATCCCTAAATATCCCTACAAAATTCCCACGGAAGCAATAAATTGATTATTCGCTGAAGCAAATAACTCCTTTATGATTTCCGTGTTTGGGTGGCCTGATCCAAACACTTGGGAATGTTCGTCGGGTTAAGAAAAGCGCGCAAAATCACTCGCCTTCGGCTCGTGTTTCGAGTATACTTCCCTGAGGAATGCCGCAAGTTATTTTCTTTGTTTTTGAATGCAGTGTTTTAATATAGCTATTGACATGACATGAAAATCAGTTTACCAAATTAATCTTTTCAATAACATTTCATGTGTGGTTCTTAGTCATGCGAGTGGCTAATTTATACAGGCTTTTACTGATTATGGGAAACATGAAATTACTTTATGGAATATATTCATGAGAAAAACCGGGCATTGTACTGTCTACATTAGGCTGAAACAATGCGACGAATCGGATATTCAGCGAATCGGACTGACGTTCTAACAATTGAGTATCAAGTTCACTGAGCGCACAAGTTCAAATTCATATTTAACTCTTTATCGTTTGTCGCAAATTTTATATTTTTTCTATTCAATTATATATTGAAACGAAAACCACCGTTGAAATTTTCACAAAATAACCTTTTCAACGGGGGTCAAATGCCTTCAAAACATTACACAAACCAAAACAAATATTTATTTTGAATTTTTCAAGATATCGGGTTTTATTCCCACGCGCGTGCCCACGCTACAATTGGCCAATAAGAAACCACCTTCGACGGCTACACGTCAAATCATGAATATAAGTACTGTAATAAAAGATGAACGTTTGAAGGTACAAGCTTGAAATAACACTCTAAATAGTGTGTTGGATAATAATTCGAACAAGACTATTACAAAGAAGATATGTTCAAAGGGGCCGAAGTTACCTTTGGCGAAAGGTATGGATAGTTTATATTTATCGAGTGATATTGAGTCAACGTTATGCTGACAACGCATGCAGTGATGAGGCCTTTCTCATGAATATATTGTATCTTGTTTCCCTGATAATGGCTCTGAAATATGAAAACGTATTTGCTAAATCTTCTTTATCTTTTAGTTGTCTGAAAGGTCTACGACTTCTTCAGATAAATGGCCATGTTTCTTCAGATCCTGATGTGTTCAAGTACTTTGCCAGGTATGGAAGTAAATTTTGGACAGAATCCCTACAGATAGCTTGCAGTTGTGACCATATTTAGGATAGCCAGTGCAGTAATTGTTCAGATCGTTAATTACCGATATGCTATTTGCCGAACTCCTTCTAAATCGGTTGGTCGATCTACTTTCTGCTTGCGCGGTTTGGAATTATTCACTCGAGAACGTTTCATCCTATCATATTAGCGAGTGAACAATATTACGCAGTTTAGAAACGAAGCATTGGATTTTGAGAATACTAATGAAGGCGTACCACAAGGTAGTAAATTGGGTCCAATTGCTTTTGTCATACAAATCAATATGCCACATGTTGCTATAAAAGAAGCTATCATGTTGTTATCGCGCTAAAAAAGAAGATTGTGTTGTCATGGACGAGGATAAGATTCTCTTCATGGATCCCAAAAATAAGTGGTTCAGCAAAAAAATTAACTGAAAATTAAATTGGGATATTTGGGTGTTTATGATGTCCTGTCGTCTCAGCATGCATGTGTTGTATGGTTGCTGATTCATTGTTTATTCATTGTTTGTTCATCTACCTGGATTATATGTTTTTTTCTATTGCATCCCACGAGCGGTTGCTTTCTCCTACATATTTAAAAGAGCACTCTTTGCATTTGACCTTATAAACTATGCCAGATACTTTAAAATTATCCAGTTTGTCTTTCGACGTTTTAGAAATGTCAGCAACTGCATGTTTGGAAAGGTTTAAAACTGTTCTAACATTTTCCTGTTTTAGTGCTTGCCGACACCCTTTGCATATGGTATAAAACAACAATTCCATTTTAATTTGCACTTACCTGTGGTTCTACATCTCGCGATATGGACGTTGCCGCTTCTTGGATGAATTTGCATGGGTGTCCGTTAACTTCAAGGTCCTGAAAGGAATGGATAAAGTATTTCAGGACCTTCAAATTAACGGTAGCCGCGAAAATTCATCCAAGAAGCGGCAGCGTTCACCCCGCGAGGCGTAGAACCACAGCCAAGTTCAAATGCGATTGCTGTTTTACCACTAATAACAGGTGGGAAATTTGTCTGAGCATGCGCGAGCAAAATGAGTCACGCAATTGAGTGGAATACACGCAACGCGTGTTTACAAAAAGGCACAATCGTGTAAATATTGCCAAATGTTTGTACAAAATAAATGACTGTTTTATGTTGAAAATGGACATGATCTAAATTAATCATACAGAATTTTTTAGTGACGTTCTATTTCAGTACCCTGCCATTGTTTCTGGTGGGCTGTCCGTGTGCATTCGATCTGAAACAGTTGCTACTTTGCTGTCGAAAAATTTCGAATGTTTACATGAAAATAGAGGCAAGTAATGCATTTTTCAACCTCGTAAACTGTATGAGCCCCTATTTTTACGCTTATACCTAAGATATCAAATAAAAATACATGAAGCAGAGAACATTTTTAGAAAGTTTTATCGTGAGGCCACGGCCAGTTTTTAAAATATATTTATTTCCGTTCCGGTCATCACCAAAATTACACTAAAGCCGGGCTTGAATATACAACAAATTTAGAATCTCATCAAGTACAAAAATATTTAACGTGTAACCAAAATATGCTCATGAAATCGAAATTAATAGCTAAATTTTCAAACTAGACCCTTCTCGAGCCGGTTTTCATGAAGGAAGTTCACATTTCGGCCTTTGATTCTTGGCAAAAATTTGACCACAACACGTGCGAAGCAACTGGGTCTCAAAGACTGAACTAAAACATTGTGAGCCCCTATTTTCCTGACGATATGTTTGATACCTACAAACGCCGAAAAGTTTTTTCTTTTCATTTAGCTATATTTGAAATTGAGGCCACGGGCTATTTTTGAGAAAATACAGTTCAAAGTCAAGCTATTTTTACATATTTTCAAAATTTGTCAAATTTCGCGAGCTTGTATTTTGAACTTAGACAGCTGAAGTTACATTAAGAAACATAGGATGGAGAATTTGAGGCATATAAAGTTAATTTCAACTTACATTTCATTCTCATATCACGTCTTTCTTCGTTTATTACGGTTTTAAACAAGCCACAGATCGACGTATACGGTATTTACTCCCATGTTCACGTCGCCATATTAACTTCTTCCAATCACTCGATTACAAAACAAATCATCCCAAACCAAAGAATTCATAGTCGACTTTTAAAAGAATAACCGTTAATTTGTAAATCGTTGAATGGAAAGCAAAAAATCGTCAGCTAAAACAGCTTCTTGCTAACTTTCTGCTTTGTTTTGAATGTAAATGCAATGAGCTTTGTTTCTGCCCGCGATTTTTTGGTCAGCGACGACAAATTTCCCATCTGTTACCACTAATATGAAAAGGGTGTCGGCGAACAACTTAAGTACCCAAAACGGGGAAATGTTAGAACAGTTTTTAATTTTCCAAGTAGACGAACAAACAATGCATCAGCAATCAAACAATAATACATCATATACACCCCAAATATGCCAAAACAATGGAACAATGCGTAACGAATTAACAAGTGTTTCTGGAGTCGTTGCATTCAACATTGGACAAAAATGCGATTAACGAAAGAAAAGGATTACTAAAATGTTATAGAAACAATGGTGCATAACGTCAAGTGCATGGGTATAAATATCAGTTGTTTTTCCAGACGCGTATGAGAATATAGCATTTTTAATTTCATTGCAGACAAGACTGACAGTTTGCAGTCGAAATTTCAATTTTTAAAACGTTATCTTAGATCAGCTTCAACTTTTCTTAATTAATAAAATGGTTTCTACTGATCGCATTCCAAGTACATGTATCCTTTTTTTGTACTTCCACCAGTTTCACGCTTTAGATATATATAAATTTTATTATGTTACTTTCCAACTATCATATTGTCAACATAACTGAACAACAACTCGATCAGAACCACATTATACTCCCCACATCATCGGCATGTGACTTCTATTGCAGCTAATAATTCGTATCTAAATTAGGCAACATTTATCTGCTTCTTAAGGCTTTAGTGTAAATGATGTAAATGATGTTTATTGAAACTCTCTTGCAGTATATTTACACTGAATTAACGAGTCCAAAGTATTACTAAAACTATATTTACATAAATACATACAACTGTTAAAACTATGTACTATAAACATTAAAAATATTTAAAAGTAAAAATTGTTCAGATCTTAAAGTTCTGCATTTAGTTGTGTTCTTAAATAAAATAGTATTGTCTTGACCATTTCGTAGACTATACCTGCATTCGCTCATCTTATGTCTTGGCAGCATAAAATGCAGGGGATGATCCTCCTTCTTCATTTTAGTCATATATTTTTTACATAAGAGTTCGCATCTGCTCTCCAATGTTGGTATCTGTGCCATCATCATCGCCTCATTATAATTATCTATGGAAGGGAAGATGGTTCGAAGTGCCCTTGCTACGGAGCTTTCTCCGGTCATTCAGGATATTTACAATCAGTCCATTAAGGAAGCATATATCCCAGATTTACTTAAATCTAAGATAACGTTTAGTGTAGGCATTTTCAGGATGACTATTCTGCTGTCTTGAAACGATTAGTTGACAGGTGGTGTTTCCTTGCATCTCCCCTAACGTTTAATGAGGCAGGCCAAGTAGCACAACTCGCAAAATATGAATACCGTTCAGTTCTAAAGTGAACATACTCGAAAATTGAAGTCAGTGCGTAGCTGTTATATACTGGACAATCCCACTCATTATTACACTCGCTTCTACATACTATATTTTCAAACGGCCAGTGTCACTGGATTCTACTAACTTCCCGACGATGAGCATTCGCTCGAAACGTGGACGTTCTGCTGATATACTTTCAGGTAGTTAATATGTATCCTTCACTCCGCAGCTTTCTACATGCAGTGTATAGTTTCGCGCTTACGTCATATTCTGACGTTCATTGAACTATAACCTCCACAATTATGTGTTTGTGTTTTGTTTTATAGAATTGGTCATTACGAAAATGTTCGTTTAACAGCCATTGAATGTTTAGTTGATATTATTCAAGGTATAAAAAGAAAGTTTCTGCATATACATAATAGACGTTTCCCAAGATAGCTTAACAACCTCTTTCAATTAAACCTTTGTATTGAAATATGGTTGAAAAAGCTGTCAAATCTTTAGAGGCACATATTTTTGGAAGATCCTATGTTGCCAACCTTACTACTATTTAGATAATAACGTTAAGAATTCAAGTGCTTTCATTGGTCGAGAGCCATGATCTATTAGAGGACAGATGCACAGAATACGTCATGCACAATTAAGTTAGCCAATAGCATTCCCTTATTTGTATAGATCATGTAGGCGTGATATTTGTAAAATTTCGACTTTTTCAAATTTCCAAATGCAAAAGAGTGGATAAAAAGTAATAAGCTATTTACTAATATATGAGATCGTGAAGCTATGTTGGAGTTGGGCAACATCTATTATTTGTTCCACTTAAAAATACTAACTTTGTGAGCCGTGTTCCTTCTTTAGCTGATTGTAATGGAGATATACTGGAATTGTTGCTTAATATGGCAGAGACGGATCCTTCATCGTATATCAGGTATTGTATTAATTTTTGTGGCTAATTTATTTGTGGTCTATAAAATGCCATTTGAGCCAGATAAAATAGTAAGGCTTGTTTCATACGTCTCACTGTCGTCAAATTTATTTAGACGAGTCTAATTGAAATATTGAATGCATTACATGCGACGGTGTAGTGCGTCGTATGAAACATAATAGGGCCATTTATACGTGACAAAATAAGTCGCGACTTACATAAGACGCGACTTAAATAAGTGGAGTTATCGCATAAATGGTTCTCTACGGCTTTGGTCTTATTTATTTGCTATAGCTATAATGTTGTTTTGGTTGTTTTTGTTTTAATATGCAAGGCATTAAATTTTACGTTGTTTCAAGTTTCTGGCATGTGTAGTTAGGCTTTTTGTCCAAAATTTCTTATTTAAGACGCGACTTAAATAAGAACAGCTAAAAGACCTGTTCTTATCCAAGACGCGTCTTACATAAGAATTTTGTACCTTTTATACGACAAACTCGCGTCTTACCTAAGTCGCGTCTTATGTAAGTCGCGTCTTATTTTGTTCCGTGTAAATGGCCCTATTATTCGACAATACTAATATGTAGAGCGTTTAGTTTGCAACATTTGGTGCAAATTAGAGGCCGATTGCTTACAAATTGAGTGCCTATAATACCAAATTTCCTGAACCAGCTGCGTAGGGTGTTCTGTAACCTTACTGCTGTGCTTGGACGTGTAAGCCGTTGCTGACCAACGGACCGAAAGAAAATACCATTGGAAGCAATTTCACGAACTCTTATGTTTTAATGTAGATTGAAGCATGACTTTAAATCATATGTAATATTAATAATGTTATAAAATAGCTTTATCTTGTATTAAAAAAACTCATACTACTCATTAATACTTCATGAGGAAAAGACAAAGGAAATCGGTGCCGTGTCGGTGGGTTTATTTGTGATAGAAAATTATGTTTACTTGTGTAAACTTTAGCTTTGATTTTCTCGGCATAGACAATGTTTATTTTTAAAATTACTTCGTCAATGACTTCACGATCTGTGTTACGCACTTGTATTTTTCAGGCATCCATATCCATCTGCATTTACCTTGTATTACCCTATTATGTCCCTTCTCTGCCAAATCATTGATATATGAAATAAGTTGAATAATTAGCAATGTTCATCATAACGCACAATATTTACCTGGGATTATTCCTTAGTTAACACTTCAAGCTTATGCATTCTTTTTATTTTGACCAATTTAATTAAATACATATTAAATTATTATGCTTATAAAATTGTTTGAGGCGTTGCATGTTGTACGTTTCACATTAAATTAATTAGTGGTATAATGTATAGTATTATAATATAATGGACATGCGTTTTCAAGAAGGCAAGAGGTACAGATTTGTTTCATTTTTGTTAAATTTTACGCTTTTCAGGCATAGCATTCTCAGAATGTTAACTGAGAATCCTCCATTCTCCAGAAAGTCGGACTCTCCTATGGATAACCTGGTTCTTGTAAACAAAATATGGAATTACGCAAGGTATCTCATCTTTGTGTTTGACATCCTTATCTTTGTCGATAGAACTAATAGTATATATAGTTGGGGTTTTTTTGTGGATAGAATATTCGAGCGAGATGCCCCATACCTTGATATTTACTTTCTACTGGCATCTGTTCTACTGGCTTATGTTTAAAATGTATATAAGTTTGCGAATATTCCAAAAGCCGTGCCGAATAGGTTACTTTACTTTATTTGATTCCAATTACATACAGTATATAACAGTTTGTGGATGAGGCTGGGCATGGTATCAATAATTGCCAAGACTGAGGTGAACGGTATCTGCCGAAGTCGAATGCTCGGGCGTCCGAGGTCTAGATAATTCTGATATAAGCCGAATCCAAATTTGTTGTTTTATTATGCACAGATAGTATGTTTGCAACCAAAACAGCCGAGACTATATCAACCACTAAGTCCACTCGTACACGGCAAAACGATTGATTTTGATTTGATTTGTTGCATTAAACAAATTTTACATAAATCTATCTAAATATACAAGACTAAATGCGAATAAGTATAGGTAATTATTTAAAGCAACTGGTGGCCGAACAGGGCATTGCCCCAATTGAACATGATTACTACAAACTCTGCTCACGAGTTTTCTTGCAAAAACTTACTTCTCTCGTGGTTGATTTTTTCCGCCGCCATGTTGTTTATTCAGAATGCACAACGTCACCTCACGTACACAGAATTTTCAATGTCGTGTAGGTGGCAAAATGATATTTAAAAATACTTGGATTTAATTTAGGTTTTTTCCCTTTACTAGCAAATGTTCTTTAGATTCTCGGTTAAGGTGTGATTTTATGGATCTTTACAATACCTTATGGGGACGAGTCTCTCCCGGATGTGTTCCAACACAAGGTGTAAGTACTATTTATACATTTGTATATCCAACCTTTTAGATTAGTAGATTACATCTATAATCGTCACCATTTTCACAAACATATACAGATAGTATTCATTTTCGACCCCTTCCCGCTATCTCCCAAAGCATATTCTGAAATGTTGAACCTTGCGAATGATGGTGGATCTATCGTCATGATTTTATAAAGCGTACGTTGTGCAGCTATGCAATTTGACGACTCCTTAATTTGAATTAAGGTGGTTATGATACGAAAGTTTATCCCACTTCGTGATAATCACATGCTACTTGCTAGGTTCCTCTCATAATGTCTCCTCTGTAGATCTTCGCTAAAGAACATTTTTCTCAATTACTACATGCATTTAAATGTAAACTTCCCACGTAAAACTTACCACAATACCATTTGGCATATACGAAATATAATACTGGGTGGACACTGATTCAAAAATTGTTGCGGTTTTTTAAAATAAAGGTACTAGGGACATGTGAATTGCCTTGAAAGACATATTAATAAACAATTGATCTTGCTATGGATTCGGTATTTTAATGGTTTATATTCTTTACATGGTTATTGTTGTAGTGTTTTTCCAAAGTTATTGATTTTTTTATATTTCCTTGACGAAGAGTCTTTACTCAGATCTTTGGGAACTATTTTTATCTCTTTTAAAATGACTGTCATGAAATTCAACAAAGGTTTTTAACATGCAGAAAGTGTCCTTCGGACACCTGATGGTCATTTTTCAACTGTTTTGAAATCGCTTGAAAAATGATAAAACTAACTATAAGGACATGAACCTCACAGTTAAAAGAAAGAAAATTTAATCTGGGTTTTCTCAATCAATGAACAGTTTTAAACTTGAAAAATTGCTATCCGGTAGATAGTGCTACCCAGCCTTCGCACAATGGCCCTATAGATCATTTCTTATGACAACTATTGGAATGGCAGTGTGTTAGATATGTTAAACATATCACATGTGATATAATCTTTATAACGATCTACAGGTGCCAGTGTAGATTGTGTCAATAAATAAGAAAGCTTCGGATTGATATAGCGACACAAATACGTGGAAAAATACAATTATCTGAAAAATACGAAGTTAGGTCCCGACGAATTAGGGCCTTTGCTCGAAATGTTGAAGTTCTCCTTGTAATTTCCAGGTAGTCGTATCCATATCACATGTGTATGTTGCTTATGTATTTTTAGATGGGAGTACTCATTGATTTGAAAGAAAAAAGAATAACAAACTTTTCCTCACTTCATGCGCCCAACGAAAGCCAGGTTTGTCAAAGTAAATGTGCATATAACATTTTATTTGGCGTACACTACGTTTTAATATAAAGTGGACAAGTTGTTTGGGGAAAATTTCAAACGAGCAGGTCATATAGAGTAGGGTTGAAATAACAGGTGGTTAAGTTATATAGACTGCGAAATAGTTTGACTAAAAAACTTGAGTAAAATAATGCACCCACTGTGACTCAACATATTGAGTAAAATTACTCAAATTTATGAGCATGGTACTCCTTTTTTTAGTAAAGTAAGTCTTTATTCAAAATGTTGAATCACTGTGGGTGCATTAATCCATTATTTTACTCAAGTTTTCGTGTCAAAGCATCAGGTATTTTTGGCAATGATACTAAAGCTTATAGCTTCGGTACCGGTTGAAACTATTGAATGGAGTTTCGGTATCGCTCTTTAAAACTTCTTGCTATCATGTCAATGTAGTGTTCGGTACTGCATGTGTATGGAAGCCATGTACCCAAAAATATTTAATTTCTGACCCAGCGAGCGAGCCTGAACGAGCGAGCAAGTCAGTACTTCTAATTGGGATTGGGCTCTGAAAGTAAGATTTTACTTCCGTTTCTCTGACCAGAATGCATTGCTGTTAACCGACCAGAATGCTTTGCATGCATCATGCTGTAAATACGGGGGATCTCATTAGTCAGTTTATGGCCCGGTAACGATGCAGTTGTTTTGGTATATTTTATATTCATGGTATGGTCTAGCTGTTGAATATTCTGGCTGGTCTTACTCTCAATATACTGAATTTGCTTGTTACAAACAATTAATAACTCATGTATTTGTGTTTGGCACAAATCTTTAGTTGAAAAAAACAAAACGCTATAGGGGAAGCTGTGGAGCTCTGTGGGGAAAAAAGATTTTATTCGTGGAAGAACCAAGATGGCCGAATTATTTTTATATTAAAGTTTTTTATAAATTTGTAGTTTTATTAAAACATTATGAAAAACCCTCGGGCCTGCTGCACGCGGGCTATGAAAAAGTATGTGATTCCAGTAATTGTCCTGCGATGTACTGTAACAAGACCGGTTTTACAAGAACTCCGTGACAGTGTTCTTCACCTTATCTTCTTTAATTAATTTAATTGTGTTTTCTTATCTCATTTACTGAATTTGAACTTAGCAGTAAAATCAACATTGTAAGTTCACGCGTTCATTTCAAGCGTTAAAAACGAATCAATTTCATCTGGATTGTTGTCGATCAGTTTGGTATAATTTAAACAAGGTTTACTTTTTGTTTGAATATGATTTGATTATAAGGTAACACATCAATTACACAGGTCCGGCAACTGCTAACTATGACTATATATAGTATGGCGTTTTAAAAGAATGATGCTTTGTGTGCTATTTCATGGGTTAATTAATGTACTTTTGCCTGCCAAAAAGCATAGTACAGTGTACACAAAACTGTATACACAATATATGCATGCATGTGCATCGTTTAAGCATGCAACGCAACTAGGGGCAAGTCAGTGAGATTGAAGCATGTGGAATATTTGATCATTGATCACGCTCTTGTTATGTTATATGTTATGTTATGTTATGTTATGTTAGGCATGTGTCGAATGCATTAGAAACAATGTCCTCAACTCTAGTTTGTATAGGTAATCACACAGGAAGGAGTGCAATTAATGATTAACACTACGAGTGCATGATATTAAAAAAATGTGCCAACATTGCACGAACCGCCGGAGATTATTTCTTAAAACTGTTATTTTCCACAGGCTCTTTTTGCCAGACTATGGTTTCTAAACTCATTCTTGTGCCTAAGTTTAATTCAATTCGTCCACGTTTGTTATTTATACAGTACAAGATAAATTCGCTTTTGGATTTTTGTTGTTTTGATTTCCCGCTCCCCCCAGCCATCACGAAAATCATTAATTGCACTCCTCTTAACCAATCAGATTGCAGTAATTTTGTCATGTATATAATAAATACTTGTGCAGTTTTTGTGGCTTGACGGTCAGCAGCTAGCCACTGCGTTGCCCTGAGCAAGGATGTAAATTGTGAGTGTGGATGTTCACTTTAGAAATACGGCAGGTCGAACAGTTAACGATTCTTTGTTTTTCGAGTAGTTAACATG